CATATGGGTGACATTTACCTCTTCCTCAAAACGCAAGCAGATCAATCCATGTGTGACAAGATATCTTGACACAGCAAGGTTCTGCATTTTTATAAAACATGAGAAAAGATGAATTTTTTCGCACAGCCTCAAATGGGGCCCTGGTCCTCTGGGCCCCTTCTGTTTGGGGTCCCTGTTTTATGCCGGCCTTGTTTTATCCTTGCAACACTGGAATTTCCCCTGTACTTTTTGGGTACAGTCACTCCCCCCCACCACCATGTTTCCAAAGGCTTCCCTCCCCCTTTTTTTAATCAAAGAATTACTTTATTGAACTTTATTCGTTTTATTTATTTATTTGTTTTTTGAGGGGTTTTTGCTATAGGGCACATGCACGAGACAGAAAGTGAGAAATCACCCCCTGGGAGGATGACCACACCGCAGTCCCTTCTCCTCCCTTCTCCTCTTGGGATCTTGGACACGCACGCACACGTGCCCAGTGTGAGTTTAAGCCACCAGGTCTGCGCATGGGAGTCCAGCGACATAGCCATTACGCCAACTGCTGGTTTCTTATTTATTTAATTTGACCAGAGAGGGACAGAGTGAGTGAGAGAGAGAGAAAGAAAGTGAGAAAGCAAGCCACCAGGTCCAGGACTCAAACTGCAGGCAGCCATGTGGGGAGTCCAGTGCCCCAAACCATCACACCACCTACCAGACCCCTCCCCATCTTTTTTAATTGTGATAAAATTGGCCATTTTAATCATTTTTAATTGCACTTTTTTTTTTGTTTTGGAGAGACTTTTTTGCTTCAGGGCATGTGTGTTCGCTGGAGAGAGAGACAGAGACAGAGAGACAGAAAGCAAGAAATCACCCCCAGGGAGGGATAGCCACACTGCAGTCCCTTCTCCTCCATTCTCTTGGGATCTTGGCCATGCACGCACACGCAACTGGTGTGAGTTTTAAGTCACCAGGTCGAATACTCGATCCGTGGTCAACTATGTGGGAGTCCAGTGATGTGACCATTATGCCATCTGATGGTCCCTAATTGCACCATTTTTAAGGCATCAGTTATAGTCATATTCTTGCACAACCGCCACTGTCACCTATTTCCAAAACTTTTTATCACTCCAAACGAAACCTTGTTCCCATTAAGCAATAACTTCCCATCCCACCCTGAACCCCTGCTCACCTCTTTCTACTTCCTGTCCCTGAATTTGCCTATCCTAGACATGTCATGTAAGTGGAATGACGTGGCATTTGCCCTTGTCTGTCCACCCCCTTTCACTTGGCACAGTGCTCTCAAGGTTGCAGGGGCCTTTAGGCTTGGGCTCTGGCCCTGGAGGGCAGATACAGCAAATCAGCTTCGATACCCTCTGCATTATCCTCTTGTCACCTGCCTCCTCTTCAGCCTGTCTCTTGGGCATGACCATAACAGGGCAGGGCAGGCTTTGGCTAGTCTGGAATTTACCCCCACTTCTCACACTTCTCAAATCCCAGAGGGACTTCTTTTTTTTTTTTTTTTTTTTTTTCTTAAAGGCTTGAGGTAAGATTAACCTAGCCTGAAATCCTTGGAGTCAGGAGGAAGCCAGAAAGTGGGTGAATGAGATTATTCCCTGGACAGTTTGGCCGGGGATTTTAAGAGTCATCAAATATTACTGCCTTTAGATCCATGAGTTTGGTTTCTTGGAATCTGCTTGTAAGAAGGAGAAGATCAGGGAGCAGTGAGTGGTGTGGTGGTTGAGGTGCTGGACTCCCTCATCGCTGACCTCAGTTTGGTCTCAGACCTGGTGGCTTGCTTTCTTGCTTTTCCTCTCTCTCTTGTCAAATTAAAATAATAATAATAATAAATAAAACGAAATGAAGTAATTCTTTTAAAAAAAGGAAAAAAAGAAGGAAAAGATCAGAAGTGCTGACCAGTATTTATACACGAAGATGTTCCCTGTGGTGGTGTTTATAGAAGCCTTGATATAAAACAGCCTAAATAGCCCATCATAAAGGAATAACTTAAAGCAAATTATGGTAAAATATAACAGTGGCCATAAAAATTACATTTGCAAAACAAAGCAAGATTTTTTTTTAAGAGAGAGAGAGGGAATGCATGTGCATTCCCCAGAGAGACAGAAATCAAGAAATCACCCCCTGAGGATGGCCATGCCAAAATCCCTTTTCCTCCATTCTCCTCTCAGGGCTTTGGGCACACACAGACACACACACACATATACACACACACACACACGCCTGGTGTGTTTTAAGATGCCGGGTCTGGGACTAGAACTGTGGGTCAACTACATGGGAGTCCAGCCATCTGCTGGTCCCCAAAACTAGATGGTGAGGAAAATGCCTGTGACCAAATGTAAAATGAAATTTTAAAAAACTTTTTTTTTTTTTTTTTTTTTTGCTATAGGGAGCGTGCGCTTGCCAGAAAGACAGAGACAGAGAGACAGAAAGCTAGAAATCACCCCCCTAGGGGGGATGGCCACACCACAATCCCTTCTCCTCCATTCTCCTCTTGGGATCTTGGGCACGCACGCACTCACACACACACACACCTGGTGTGAATTTAAGCCACCAGGTCTGGGACTCGAACTACGGGCGACTATATGGGAGTCCAGCGACATAGGCATTACACCAACTGCTGGTCTCTAAAAAACCTATTTTTTTTTTTTTAAGCAGAGTATAATTCTCTGTATGTATTATGATATCAAGTATGTAAAGAAAAAAATCACAGGGGAAAAAGATAAACAAAAGCATATGCCAAGCTGCTTGATAGAATTATGCTTAAAATTTTTTCTTTATATCTTTCTGCACTTTGCAAATTCTCTACAAAAAGAACATGCATTACTTTGATCTTCGAGACAACAAAGTAATAAACGGGAAGAATAATGCTCCTCTGCACGTGATTAAGGAGGATCTAGAATTTGGAGGCCTGGGGCAGACCTGTGAGCCATATGTGCCTTAGGGGTGCTTTTGTGGGGGATGCTCTGGGGCCAGGAGGTGGGATGGGGTATAGTGGAACATGCCCTCCAAAAAGAGACTGATTCAGACCAGGGCTGAAAACTTGCATGCCTTCTAGGGCCGAGCATGTCATGATTGAGCAAAAGTGTGTAATCCGATAAGTGAAGGAGACCACAGCAAAATGCACAGCTCATGCCCTGCCTAAGAGCAGCAGGGGCCGCTGGGCTGGCAGCTGTTACCTGCCCTTGCACATCCAGCCTTGTGTGGCCAGACCTTTTTCTTGGTTTTGCCATAGTGCTTGTGTGCTCGCTGGAGAGAGAGAGAGAAATCACAACCTCACGCCATAATCCCATCTCCTTCCGTCTCTTGGGACTTTGGGCATTCACGAACATGCTACCAGTGTGATTTTCAAGCTGCCAGGTCTGGGACTCAAACCATGATCAATCATGTGGAAATCCAGCACCTTAACCACTATGCCACCTGTTGGACCCTCTCTTATTTTTAAAATTTTACTATAGGGCATGTGCTACTTGCCAGAGACACAGAGGGACAGAGAGAGAGAGAGGGTGGGACCAGCAGGTGGCATGGTGGTTAAGGTGCTGGACATTCGCACATAGCTAACTATGGTTCGAGTCCTGGACCTGGTGGCTTGCTTTCGCTCTCTCTCTCTCTCTCTCTCTCTCTCTCTAGTCAAATTAAAATAAATGAATGGATAAATAAAAATTAAGTAATTTTTTAAAAAAAAGTTGGGGAGTGAGAAAGCCCCTTCCAGGGGGAATGGCCATACCACAATCCCTTCTCCTTCACTCTTCTCTCAGGACTTTGAGCATGCATGTACGTTCACCCAAGCATGTTTCTCATAGACCACCAGGTCCAAGACTTGAACTTCTTGGTCAGCCACGTGGGACCCAGCCACCTTAACCTCCATGCCACCTAGCTAGCCCTAGACCTTTCTTTCTTTCTCTCTTTCTTTCTTTCTTTCTTTCTTTCTTTCTTTCTTTCTTTCTTTCTTTCTTTCTTTCTTTCTTTCTTTCTTAAAGAAACCATAAGTCCTTATTTTTTAAAACATATAATATCTTTTTTTTTTTTGGAGAGGTTTTTGCTATAGGGCACGTGCGCTCGCCAGACAGACAGAGAGAGACACAGAGACAGAAAGCGAGAAATCCCCCCCCCAGGGGGGATGTTCACGCCACAATCCCTTCTCCATTCTCCTCTCGGGATCTTGGGCATGCATGCACATGCGCCTGGCGTGAGTTTTAAGCCACCAGGTCCGGGACGTGAACCGCAGTCGACCACGTGGGAGTCCAGAGACATAGCCATTAAGCTAACTGCTGGTTCCCTAAAATCTTTCTTTTTTGAAATTTTATTTATTCCACAAGCGAGCAAGACAGAGAATAGCACTCCCGCAGGGCCTGGGTGCACCCCTAGTCTCAACCAGAGCATGGGCACACCTGTGCCTACTGTACTCAGGGAGGGCTCCAGGTGCGAACCTGAAACCTTCCCCAGTGGAATTGCCTCTTGGATGTTGTGTTTTACTGCAGTGTGTCATATTGCCACCTCCAGGACCTCTCATATGAACACTTTTTTTTTTTTTTTTTTTGGAGAGGTTTTTGCTGTAGGGCACGTGCGCTCACCAGACAGACAGAGAAAGACATAGAGACAGAAAGCGAGAAATCACCCCCCAGGGATGATGGCCACTCCTCAATCCCTTCTCCTCCATTCTCTTCTCAGGATCTTGGGCACCCACGCACACGCGCTTGGCGTGAGTTTAAGCCACTGGGTCTGGGGCTCGAACCGTGGTCAACTACATGGGAGTCCAGCGACATAGCCATTATGCTAACTGCTGGTCCTGTTCATATGAACACTCTTAGACACTGTCACCCAGCTGAAAAATATTTTCGGTCCCCATTCATGGGCTAGATGTGGTAGATAAGCCAGCAGTCTGTGACCCGTGGCCCGTTTCTCCTCAGAGGTGGCTCGGTCGTCCGTGGGCTGTGTGTTGAGTTCTCCATGTGGGGGACAGGCCCGCAGCCCAGACTAAAAGGGGTTTCCTTTGTTCTCTCTGCCAGAAAATGAGCCTCCATCTCCTCTGGTCTCCGGGATTATTGATTACAACATGCCCCTCACCTCCACGTACCTGAAGCAGATGAAGCTGCGGGTGATGAATTCCCAGGAGCAGGTAAGGCTGCGTCTCCCGCGCCCCACCTGGAGGCGTCCCGACTTGCCCAGTTGTGGCTGATTCTGTCCAAGACTTCGGGCCTGAGTAAACACACTGGATCAAAGAGGCCCTTATCTGGCTATCTGGGCCGGCAGTCCAGGCGGAGAGGGGAGGGGAGGGGAGGGGAGGGGAGGGGAGGGGAGGGGAGGGGAGGGGAGGGGAGGGGAGGGGAGGGGAGGGGAGGGGAGGGGAGGGGAGGGGAGGGGAGGGGAGGGGAGGGGAGGGGAGGGGAGGGGAGGGGAGGGGAGGGGAGGGGAGGGGAGGGGAGGGGAGGGGAGGGGAGGGGAGGGGAGGGGAGGGGAGGGGAAATTGTGCTCCTCGTTAGAGGGTCTGCTGGGCACACAGCCCTGGCGGGTCTTCAGAGAAACCCCGGAAGCTCAGGCTTCACAGAACTTTCCCCAAGGGCAGGGCCCCGGGAGGGGTGGGCAAGAGCCTCAGACCTTGACTCTGGGTGGCTCTGTCTGCCCTGCCCTTCGCCTGCCGAGTCACTCACCTCCTTTCCCCAGGGAGGCAAGCCAGAGAGGCCCTGGCTGCCTGCCTGTGGCCTCTGTCACTCTTGGGGCCCAGACAGTCCAGGAGGATGGGCCTTGGAGGGTGGCCCGGGCAAGATAAGGCCCTGGGGCCCCCTGGCTGCCCAAGACTCCCCAGCTGTGGTTTGCCAAGGGCTGTCAGGCACCATGGAAACAGGCTGTGAGAAGAAAAGCCCTGTTGCTGCCTCCCTGCACAGTCCGCCCTTTAACCCTTAACAAAGCGAGGAGCTTGTCTTTCAAGGAAGCCCTGGGAGAGTGCCACCCCTCCCTCTGCCACTGCCCAGAACCAGGGCAGTCACTTCTCACCTCTGGCTTCAAGCTTCCTCATCTCCTGTAACATCTGAACCCACAGTGTCCTCGTGGCCTGACTAGGGGAATGGGCTCTTTCTCTCCCCTTGAAAGACAGGTCAGAACTCAAGTCTGACTCCCAGCCCTGGGCACCAGCTGTCCTCACACGGGTGTCCTTGACAACCCCGGCGTGTGTGCTCTGAGGGGTGATGGCTCTGTGGCAAAGGAGCAGGGCGTTTTCAGGTCGCACCCCGCTACCCAGCCTGAGGATCTGAACCAGGTGGCGTGAACGCCCTGAGCCGTGCGCAGCCTAAAGGGGAGTGGTGTTGAGTCTGCCCTCCCCTGGCACAGCGATGGTGTGCCAGGCCCCCAGGGGTCGGGGAAGCAGACATTGCTCTGGGAGGTAGAACTGCGTCTCCATGGCTCCCTGGTCTTCTCACGTGAGTGCCTGCTCTGTGCTGGTGCATCCCTAAGCAACTTCGCACATCACCGGCATCTCAGTGGGCAACACGGGCTGGGCTTGGGTTTCCAGCCGACAAAGGCCGAGTCGGTTTTCCTGCAGCGACGTCGGTAATGAGGGTGTTGCTTTCATGGATAGCATGAGATCTCAACAGACGTGCAGGTTCGCTGTTCGAGTTCCTCTGACTCAGGAGTGCCCCCTTATCCACAGGGGCTACGTTCCAAGACCCCAAGTGGATGCCTGGAATGGCAGCTAGTACCACACCCTGTACATACTGTGTTTTCTCCTACACACTTGTACTTACCCGTGATAAATGTTAACGTATACATCAGACACAGCGATTAACAGCAACTGATGCTAGAATAGGACAGCTATAACAATATTTTATAATAAAAGCAAGGAATGTAGTCTCTCCGTTGCTCAAAATACCGTATCGTACTGCACTCACCTATTTGGGGACGACAGTTCAGGGCGGTTAGTGGACACTATGGATAAGTGAAGCCGCGGGTGGGGGGGACTGTTGTACTGAAGAATAGCCTGTGGCCTTTCTTCCTATAACCACACACCCTTGTCACCTGGCAGCAGCACATTCTCATCGCTGCTCTCGTCTGTGACCACAAAGAGGGGCCCATGAACAGCCAAGAAATATGGCCACACAACTCTGTATCTCCTCCAGAATGGCCCTGAGTCCGGGTCACTGCTAGGACCCGAGGTGGCCAGCATCACACACACTGTGACCCCTTCTCAGTGGACCCTGTCACGTGTGAGTCTGTTCAAGATTCTAAGTGTTTCACCAGTGCAAGCGGGAGAGGGGGCATAAACACTTCAGGTGCCTTAAGAAGGACTCATTCATTCCAAAAGTGTTCATGGAACCCTATTCTGCGTGCCGGGCACTGGGGGTAAGCACAAACCTGGTCTTCTATGACAGTCGCTAACAAAAAAAATCTGCACAAATGCTCAGCTGTGGTAGGTGGCGATAAGTGATTGAGGGAAGTGATTAATCAGGTGTCACGGGTGGTTGTGACAAGGGTCATGCAGGGCCCATGATACTGTGGGTACGGGGGGGGGTGTGGGTGAAAGACTGATGCAGGGGTTTAGGGAAGGTTGGCCTCAGACAGGGGTGCCTCTGCTGAGACAGGGCTCTGAAGAGAAGAGAGTTCCAGGCTGAAGGAGCAGCCTGTGCAAAGGCCCTGAACAAACCAAAGTCGATGAAATGAGATGGATAAATTGCTGTGACAGGGGTCGGGCTTCTCCCAAAGGAAGGGATCCTGTGGGAGGATGTTTTTCCTTGGGTGCTCTGGGAGTCCAGCTGGGGCTGGGGTGGCCTCAGCTTCCAGCGGGGTCGGGCGCTCCTTCTTTGTCTCTGTTCATAGGTTCCCAATTGCACCCCCCACCCCACCCCACTTCTCCTGTGTGCCGCAGGAGATCAAAGTGCAGACCTGTGTGCACCCCCTGGCAGCCGAGGCAGCACCCCACCCCATGCCCAGGGCCTTTCATCTGCCAGTCTCCAGCACTCCGCACGCAGCAATGAGCGCTCAAGGCCTCAGCCTCTTAGGCAGTGCCGTCGTCCCTGTTTTATGGCTGGGCGCTCGCTGAAACGAGAACTCGCATTGCTCGCCAGGTTATTTATCTGCAGCAGCTAGAAAGGGCCAAGGACCCAGAAATCTTTGATTCTTCAGCTTGAGTTGGAACTAAAAATATATATGCTTGAAGAGTTGCTTCTTTCCTATACAGCAAAGGCAGAGCAAGGCTCCCCCTAGGGTGGGGGAATACCTTCCCCTTCAAACAGCTCTCTCTCCCAAGACAAGGCTTTGAACGTGGAGTCGTTCCACCAGTCTTACCACACGATGCCAATAGAGGACACCTGTAGTGTTTACAAATCACTAGTGCAGGCTACGTGGAAAATAAAGCCATTCTAACATGGCTGGGGACCGGGAAAAAGGGTATCATAAGTGTTGAACAAAGGGCCAGCAGGTGGCATGGTGGTTGAGGTGCTGGACTCCCACATGGTCGATCATGGTTTAAGTCTTAGACCTGGCAGCTTGCTTTCTCACTTTCTCTCTCTCTCTCTCTCTCTCTCTCTCTCTCTGTTCCAATGAAATAATAAATAAATAATTCTTTTTCAAGTTAATTTTTAAAAAAATGTTGGACAAAGCTCTGTATCTAAAACGTGGGTGGGTTGTGGGTGAGAAAAATCCCAATAGTTCTATTTTTTGAGGTGCTGGACTCCCACATGGTCGATCATGGTTTAAGTCTTAGACCTGGCAGCTTGCTTTCTCACTTTCTCTCTCTCTCTCTCTCTCTCTCTCTCTCTCTGTTCCAATGAAATAATAAATAAATAATTCTTTTTCAAGTTAATTTTTAAAAAAATGTTGGACAAAGCTCTGTATCTAAAACGTGGGTGGGTTGTGGGTGAGAAAAATCCCAATAGTTCTATTTTTCTTCAGTATTACACATCTATCCAGGAGACAAATGACGAGCCGAGTGTTGGCTTGTGGGAAAAGTCATACTGCATTTTTGCATAGAGAACCACGTCATGAGTCTGCTGACAACCCAGTACAATATGCCCCCCGTTTTGCTTTGGTCAGACAATGTACAGGTGGTGAGATTTCCTTAAGGGTCAGAAAGAATCACATTCCATGTCGTCCAGATTAAAATGCCAGGAGATGAGCCCTTCTCAGAGAGGGCATTAGGTAATATGAAGACCCAGTGTCAACATCCCCTCAAAAAGATTCTTCTTGAGGTTCCACTCAAGGCGGCAAATACGGACAGCATCCTCACATGCAAGGCGCCGCAGGGCCAGACCCCACCCTCTCGAGACCTCCATCCTAAACTGTAGACCCTGCGAGTTATCTTTGAAGTGGTCTCATTGAGCCGAAAATAGGGGAATGTAGCCTGGTACGAGATGTTTTTCTTTATTTAAGAAAACTCTCACAAAGTCATAAAACTGAGGCTAGATAGTGACATGGCAGTGAAACACAAGACCGTAAGGCTGACCCACATGGAAAGGTTCGAAGTTCGAGTCTGGAGACTTCCCTAAGTATCCTGGGCATGTGTGTGCCGGTGACCAGGGGAGGACTCGGACATCAGCGGTGCTTGTTTTCTCTCTGTCCTTCTTATTAAATGGAAGAAATAAACTTAAAAAAAAATTGTTTTAGAAAAACAGGAAACCAAAATCGCATGTAGTTGTACAGATAATGAATACATCTTGAAGAGAACCGGGGAGGAAAATGCATGCAACGCGGGCGGCTCCAGAGAACGGTCTCTGGCACTCTGCTAAGACGAGGGCCAGGCAAGGCACAGGCCAGGCCCGCTGGCTGGAGTCAGCCAGTGAACACCAACCCAGGCTGCTGGAATTTCAGGGCCCCATCCAGGGGTGTGTGGAGGCGTTGCTGGTTCTTCATGTGGCGGCTGGTTTTATCTCCTGCCGTTTGTTTTGTTTTTAAATTATACAAGGAACACATAATCTCAGTAGAGAAATCAGTAGCCAACATGTAAAAATATGGTGACAGTAGTCACTGTCTGTCATCCCCTCACTGAGGTCACTGTGAGTATTTTGGTGTCCACCTTTCCTACACGTGCCGTTTATAACCACTTATAACCCGCTTTGTCTTGCTTGCTGACGTCCCAAACCACTCTGAGTTTCTCTACCCTCTGGGTCTTGATGTCGCTACCTGGTTATA